ATGCCTGCTAGGTGATTAAAATATAAACAACCTAGAGGGGGTACCCAAAGCCTACTTGGGACTTAAAACAAATAAATAAATAAATATGCCCAGAGGAGGGCACCAATGCCTGCTAAGTGTTTAAAATATAAACAACTTAGAGGGGGTACCCAAAGCCTCGTAAAAATTTATTGTCAATGTAGACCCACGATTGTAGTTTCTCTCCATTAGTTAATTATTCTTAAAGCGAATTCTGTTTTTTTTTAAATACCGTTTCAGGTGATAAGATTAGATTCGAATGATGATTGGTTCTGAGGAAGAGAGGATCTTTTGGTTGGTTGTATTCGTTTTGGAAGCAGTCGTCATCATATTTTGTAACGTCCTCGGTATTGTGATCTTCACAAGAAAACACCATCACTTCAAACCATGTCTTCTACTGACGAACCAGTGTTTTGCAGATTTTATCATGGGAATTGGAGTGTTTTTCTACTGTTATGACTTGATGAATAACCGACTTGAATATAATCCAGATTGCACCAAGATGAATGATCTTCTCAGGACAATAATCTTCATGCTCCCTATGCCGGCATCGATGTATTCTCTTGCTGTAATTGCCCTTGAAAGAGCATTTGCTGTATTCTTCCCATTTCGACATCGTAGTCTGCAGACAAAGCACTATCGTTACGCAATATTGATAACATGGTTGACGAGCTTCATCACAACAATATGTTATGTTATTTCTCACTGTAATGCATTCAATCCACAAGTAGTTGAAATAAGTATGTTAGTGTTTATGGGAACAATGTCAATGGCCGGTATGACTATAATGTTTTCCTATGTTTCTATCTATATAAAGCTCAAATTCTTCCCAATCTTTCAAAACAATGCCAGTGCCAGGAAACAAATAAAACTCTGCAGAACTTTATTCATTGCGACTTTAGCATCGGCATTGACGCTTTTGCCAATGGGTATTATAACAGTGTACTCCCAGTTGCATTGCGGTAGTAGGGCCGTGATCACGTGCTTCCCAGGATCTGTGCATTATACTGCATTGGTGATTCTCATATCAAACTCCTTCATTAACTTCTTTATCTATTCCTGGAGATTTCCTGAATTTGGAAAGGATGTGAAAGACATTTTTGTTGGTATTAGAATGTGTGCTGTTCAAGTAGATGCGAACCCGCAACCGACGAGGAAAACTAAACCTGAGCAGGGTCGAGGAGCGGCTGTTATAAGTCGACTCTAGGGGTGCTTTCCATTTAGGCAGAACTGGCCGGCCTGACCACTCTATTTAGAGGTATATTTTCGAGGTTTTCTGTAGAATAATGGATAGAATTTGAAAATTTGATTTTCATAACTAAATGGGAATGATATAAAATGACATTTTCTCTGGGTCTGGCCAGCCAGTTCTGACAAATGGTGGAAAGCACAATAGATGTAAATGCAAATTGATGAACTTAAAAATTATCAAATTTGACATGGATTAATATATATAATCAAAAAGGACGTCGCCATGCAGTTGAAAACGCACCTTCTAACTCAGTTTATCATATTTCCATGAGGACTTCATGCGGAAAACATTGTCAAATAAATAACACTTCTCAGATAAGATCACCTGATCAAGTCAACCATTTCCAGTCAGGATTGTTTAAAAGGATTTAAAATCCCAGTAAGCCGTGCTCGATCTTTTCTGGATATTCTTTTCGAGATCGGATTGATCGGATCGGATGGGGGCCTGGTGTTTTTTTTTTTTTTTTCGGACACCCCTTCAAAACTTCTGTGTCACCCGATCAAACCATCCATCCATCCATTTCCATTCAGGATTTATAACAAGGATTAAAAATCCAAATTTCTATTTCTTAGATCACTAGTAGTCGGATCCAGAAATATAATTAAACTGTAAATACAGCTCATATCCGAATTGACGTCATGAGGTCAATCAAAATGTCCGTCGACATGCTGCATCTGCTAAATACGTACCATTAATTTATCATCTTATCATATTTCCAAAAAGATTATATGGTTAAACCCGATTAAGCCAGTTAGGATTTTTGGCTAGGATGAAAACTCGAAACTGTGCATTCAGCTCACTGAAATTCAATATTTCCTTTTACTGGACTACCTCCACAACCTATTAAATGAGAACATCAGGATCCCATTACTAATGGGCTCCTGGAACATTTAAAATATTTGATGATGGAACTTTAAAAGACTTCATTTCTAAAGTTATCCAATGCTCCGCATTAAAAAATCAGGGGTCCAATTGGACCAGATATCGATCTTGCATGATGGATTTTGTTCGGTGTAAGATAGATTGTTCAAGAACTAGTTGTACTAGTTATGGAGCACATTTGGTGGCCTTCATTTGACATCTCGGGGACTTACAACTTTCTACGACATTGTTCGGATAAGAACGATATTTCCAAAAGCAGTCGTCAAATCGTCAAAATGACATGGTGTCGTTGTCTCTACTTAACTAATTTATGCATGTTAACTTAGATTTCCTCTAGTCTTACACGTCAACTGATGATGGCTACGGCTAGTAGCCGAAAAATGTAAAGATTAAAGATGATCAAAATACTTCTCGTCTACTCGTTCATTATCCAAATCTTTGCCCGCAAGTTTATTGAGTCGTCAAAGGGTTTTAAAGTCAGCTCAACCCTCTAAGGCTCAACGGGACACATTCAATTGACACCAGCGCGTTTTTCATTCGATTACAAATATTTTCCCAAATATACCATTTTGAGTGTTTTCGAAATAGATTCTTATTATGATATAAAAGATTTCAGTGATCTTACACGCTGAAATATAAGGTGATTTAGGGCAAGAAAATATGGAAAGACCCGCCATGACCGCAGGACACGCATATAACTTTAGGTTTGTTCTCCGCTGTACAGATTAAACATGGAAGATGAGCCGATTTCGCGGATTTCCTTTATCCATGTTTTTTTCGTTTAGTTATGTTTCTTTTTTTTCTATGATATTTTCTTTTTAATTGCATTATAGAACTAAATGAATAATGATAAAGTTTACTTCCCACAAGAATGCAAAATTAAAAGTTTTAACATAAACGCACAACGCAAGTTTTTAAAATCCAAAACGTTTATGCAAACATTTTACATATTTTATTTCAAAATCGTCTTATAATTCCAGTCCCAGTCCAGTCACTGTTTATAATTCGTTAAAGCATTAATTGTACATTATCGCTTCAGTTCTTTAAGCTTCTACATGTTGGACTAGCTTTCTGGGTGATTTGAGAAAATGCGACTAGCCAATCAGCGCAAAGCTGACAAGCTTATGTTGTAAACGTAACCCTCCGACGGGAGGAATTTGCACAGCAAAACTCGACCCAGTGGAGTAGGCTGCCTGACATTTTATTCTATCCGAAAAATCGAAGCTAAAACGCAAAGAGAAATTGAAAATCTTTATAAAATAGCTTTTAAATGTCAATCAAATATTTATCGTTATAGAAAGAGAATTTTATCTTAAAAATGAAAAAACAAATAACTTTTTCTTTAATACCACGAGACTCCCCTCCCTGATAGAAATAATTGTTCTGTGTTCTACGCGGGTTCTCCACTATTGCATGCGAAGCAATGACCTACTTCACGAAGACTTCAGAAGGTCGTTGAAGCGACGTTCAAGTCCAATGTATCTTAGGAGGAACCATTGCAAATCATTTTTTTGTCTTAGCTCTTGTTTTCTCTAAGCTTTGAGGTATCTACAACATCACTGGAAGAGCTAGAGCAGCTTAGGTCCACGTATTCCAATAGAGCTTTAAGCGTTTGTTATTTTTGGTACAAACAACGGTCGTAGTTCATTCTTTGTCGCATTTTCGGCAATAAGCCGCAAGTGTGCTCGACGATTTGACGTTATGTAACAGGCCAGTTACACATTTACTAGCTCTGACCTTACAACGAGAGCTAGAACGGTGACTGGGTTTTTTCGTGTAATGTCTTGATAGCGACTGTTTATGTCGAAACGACTCAAAACAAAATTCCATCGTGAAAAAAGTTCGACTAAATTCCCTAACACGTGTGTATTTAAGGTGGAAAATGTTTCATATAAGCATTCAATTCTCAAAGGTTTAATGCTATAATCATTTTGTTTAGTTATGTAAATAAATTTAACACGACTTGCACTGTTTGTCTGAGTGAAAGGCGAGATGCGGGTTTTCCCTTTCTTTATTTACACTTTCAAATATGACCGCTTAACAAAAATGCACGGGCTCACTGGCTTACAACCTTGGCGAATTCATATGCAGGCCTGGTCGCAAATCAATCACCCAGTTATTATATTTATATATTATTATAACATCTATTATACAATCGCTACAATGACACGCGGAGCCACGAAGAACGAAGCAAAGCACCTTCAACCACGCTTATAGACAATGTGCAGGGATGTCGCCATTTTTTGCAGCAAAGGATTATGTAGTCTTATGCCCCAAACTTTTTATAGACCCTGAAATATCTTATTCAAAGCCTTTTATATGCTTTATTTTTAGAAACGGCAAAACAACATCTATTTTGGCTTAGAAACATTTTAAGAAGGATTACTGTTTTGGAACGATAACTAAAGCTACCATCATGCTTTCCCGTGCAAAATGCCGTCGCTGTAGATTGTCTACTTTTGGAGACGCCTTTGATGGCTACTCTTTCTTTCGTCTCGCGAATTCCATCTTCTGTTAGTGCAATTTTTCTATTTATCTTGAGTATAAAACGTACATTAATTAAGTACATTGCGATGGCTCATTTAAATTTGCCAAGCCATGTGTGGTAGCCTTCCTAAAATCATTCCAAGCAACGGCTGTGCCAACCTCATTACCACAACTGCGCAGAAGCGTCGTAATAACCTCTGCAGATAAGACTTTATCCCACACGTTAACGCGTGAAATGTGTCCAACTAAGGCGTCTGTGCTCTTATAACCAGTGCCATAGCCATCCTGATCATTACCGAGAACAAATAAACCATTTCCACCTATTGTGACACCTGTTTTAAAACCAGTACCGGTATGATTCAACTTTCCATCGATGTATAATTGAGTTTTGCCATTATGACTTTCCCACGTGACAACCACGTGATGCCAGTGTCCGTCAGCTTTCAGTGTAGGAACAAAAGCTCCAGATTTGTCTTTGAGGTGCCTGAAATGACAAGAAACTTAAAAATTATCAAATATAATGAATTTTTCATTAAATAGATAAATAAAATTGTTAATATAACGTCAGGAACGACAATTGAGCTGTGGTAGACCATCGTTTTGCCGATTTTGCGATTTCCTTTTTGAATCTTATTCATGAATATTAAAAGTACCAAGCGCCATCTTGAAAGGTGGCCAAGCCTTTGCATCAAAGCGAGACAAAAGTTGAGCCTACAGTGATATATAGATGCCTTACATTTAATTCTTCAGTTATCTATCATTACAAGCTCATGATCAACTGCTGTACTGCCTCGCTTTGATGCAAAGGCTCGGCTACCTTTTAAGATAGCGTTGGGAACTGTTAAATGAAGCATTGGTAAAAGTTTTAAGTAACAATGCGCTAAAGAACTAGGGAACTCTCTATTGTTCTGCGGCATAGCAAGTTCCCCGTGTACGAATGTCTTGGTTTTCACACTGATTATGTATCCATCTGTGGGTAACACATTTTTGAAATAAAATGTGGATAAACTCTATTTTGAAACAAAGTTTCTTTTGTATTAAAAGCTCTTATCCAATCATAAGCACTCAAAACAATAGTCAAAAGATGCTTCTAATTTGCAATGTTCCCCACATAGAATTGCCTTAATATTGAAGCTAAAGAATGCTTCCATGAAATCGAAAACAGACATTAAATAAAATATTAGAAAATTCCCTAACTTGTGAAATTATAGCAGATTTTCTTGTTTTAACCAATGGGATGGATGGATTATACAATGCACAATTAGCACCTTCTTGCATTCCTATGCCGTTTGCTTCCCTAGTTCTTACTCGGGGCATTACTTAATAATGAAATAAGCAAACTCACATGTATTTGTTTAGTATCCATAGATACCACTTTGAATGTCGCTGATGAAAAAATATTGCATTGGAATATGTTCTCGTTGCATAAGATATAAACGTCCCGTCTCCATTTAACGTCAAATTGACGGTAAAACTGATCGTAAAGTTCGTAAGAGAAGGCATTTTCTGGAGCTTCACGTAATCTTTAGAGTCTCTTCTTGGGAATATGAAGTCAAAGTTGGATTTTGGATCTAGAAATAAAAGAGAGCGCAATATGTGACCTCTGAATATATATCGCAATAGTTTCCTTCACTGTTCTCTGCGTCATTTTGAAAGCTAGCTGACAACCGTTGAGCGTGCAATGATAGAAACTTTCTTTCATCACACCTACACTGAGACAATTGTTCACAGGTTTCTATCATCGCACGCTCAAAGTGCGTCTCGTTTCCTTCACTTTTCTCTGCGTCATTTTGAAAGCTAGCTGACAACCGTTGAGAGTGTAATGATAGAAACTTTCTTTCACAACTACCGACAATTGTTCACAAGTTTCTATCATTGCACACTCAAAGTTCGTCTCGTCTCGATGTAACATAAATATTTGCACCGAGACCGCAAGAAAAATTTATCAAACTTATCCCTTGTTGACGCTAGACTTTTGTGCTGAAAAGGCAACGACATTATTGTCCAAAGAATCCCACATAAATTACATTGAAAATGGACTGTAGCATATGCTTCTCGTATTTCCAATCAAAATGCATGTTATCTATTCTTTTCACTTTCATTGGGAATTATATGAGCATTCAGTGTTTTCCCCTTTTCCTCGTCTATTGGACTTGAAGTTGCGAAAGCCATATTGGTGATAGCTCGTGATAACCGACGATTTCTCCACGATTAGTCATACATCAACATGAGCGCAATGTTATTATTTCTAATTACTAACTTACCTGTGACTAGTGAATCACAGTTTAGTCCATTGAAGCCTGCAGCACAAACACAGCGATGTCTCAAGGTTGGATGGTTCATCTCCGCTTGACAAGTCCCGCCATTTTGGCAAGGATTTCCGTCCAGGCATGGAGACTACATACAAATAAAATACACTTCAGTAACTTGTGCAGGACTAGTGTAGTATAAGATGCAGTCAGACAAAGAGCAATTACATTTAAAAATACAAATAGAAAATAATTAATCGCGTTTCCAAGCTTTTATTCCATCAATGGACAGTGTGTGCGCGACGCCATTTTGTATCGCAAAGCATGATGGTAGTTGGTAGTCCTTTCACTATTTTTATAGTATTTAGAAAATCTCCCTAAAAAATCCGTTTTTATTCTTTATTTGTAGAAACGGCTCAACATCTTCTATTGTTGAAAAATGAAAAAGAGCTAAATGGACTTTGTTAGTTGACATAGAAATTGCGAGGATTAAAGCGCCGTTTACACGAGCAATTTTTCCTTGACAAGTTTCTTGTCAAGTAAAACTTGTCCGTGTAACTGTTCAACAATTTTTCCTTGACAATTCCTCCTTGACAATGTTTCTTTGCTTGTGTAAACGAAGAACAAGTTTTCATTGACAAGGAAAAATTTCCCGTGTGAATGGTCAATCCTTGACAATTTTTCCTTGCCACATTTTCCTTGTTGTCATTTACACGAGCAAATTTCGTCCTTGAAAATGTTTCCTTGTCAAGGAAAAGCGAACATGTTGGCTTTTCCTTGACAAGGAAAAATTGTCAATTTTACCCCATTTACACGAGCAATTTTTCCTTGTCAAGGAAAACTTGTCAAAGAAAAATTGCTCGTGTAAACGGCGCTTAAAACTCCCATCATGCTTTGTAGCACAAAATGGCGTCGCGGCACAAGTGGCTTTGAAAGAACCTTGCCGCTGAAATCTGCAATGTGATTGGTTATGATAATGGCCACTTGGAGTTCCTGTGGTATGCGTTCTATACCTTTATAGGTCCATAATAATAGAAGTCATCGATTTCAATGAGATCACTAGGCTTAGTCTCTTTGGTCTCGTCGCTCAATTGGCACACAGGAAGCCCGACGCCAGTGTTCTTATAATTGTATGACAGACACAGTTCATTGTTGTTGCAATGTATCAGGCATTCAATGTCGTTAGCTGCATGAGTTTTCTTTATCACGTGACCAATTAAGGCACTTTCTGAAGATTGAACATAAGTGTATTTATTAGAGGATTTTAAGAAAAATCATTGCTCAATGCGTGACGACTGAGTCCAGCATGAAAAATGCCTCCTTCGCAGGATACTCCAGTGGACATGGACTTATTGTCTATTTTTCTCGTTAGCGGACAGAATGTTTACAAATGGCATTAGGCATATATATTGCATTAGGCATTTATAATATATGTGTTTATTTTTTTAAAATTTAATGTGCTTTCAATAGGCAGTGGCTAACTCGAAAGCTAAGCTCCTTTAGCCACGGCACACTTTCTCCTATAACAAACATGCAATTCCCCATAACTAATTCAATATATTTTAATCTATCGTTAAAGCAATATTACCTTGTAAAATAACAATATATGTGGTGTAAATAAAAAAAAATGAATTGAATTGAATATAAAAATACTAGTTCTGATAGAATACCATGCCATACCTACAGGTGTGCGTTTAAATATTCTAGACCTCACGTTGTCATTGGATGCACCAACTTTGTAAGTACACAGGAGTGCAATAATGCTAAAGCACAGGAACTCCAGACGTGCTTGATAGCAGAATATCATTGCTGCTTAAGGTCTCATGTTTGATCCTATAACAAGAAATACAATTCATTATTATAACTTTATACAAATACATTCAATCGACGAAATTCTGGCCGCTAACTTATAAATATATCAACATATGCGGTTATCGATTTAAAATTAAACGTTTAATTTTTCATTAAACTATAGTCTATGCATTTATAACCTTTGATAAAGATAATTGCAAAGTATTCATTAAGTTCTATAGAAAAAAAACTTTAAGGAGCTTCTTTTATAGGATCACTGCCGACATTTGATCAACACTAAGCTATCTTATAGGGCCCTAAAAATCCACGTTTAATCATCATATTTCTAGGTTACTGTGTTCCAATATATAGAGAGCTATATAGCTTTGACATAATATGAACACAATACTAACACAAACTGCATATTGGATCAGTAACTACATAATTAATAACTAGTTAATGGCCATTTTCCAACAAAAACATTTCGTTTTTCCTCTTTCAGAAGACCGCATCAATATATAATTCCTAGGGCTTGAAGCAGGCAACTTTACTTGTCATTTTGTCGCAAAAAACGTTTAGAGACTCGAAAATCAATTATCGAGAATTAAAAAAAAAATACTTTTAAGTCGATGGAGGAGTAAGCTCCAGATAAGATAGATTGCGATAAGATAAGTTAAAATCCTAATGAATTTTTGATAGGGCTGAAGCAACAGAAATCAAAACGATTATTATTTTTTTTTGTTTTTGTGCAGTTTTCAACACAGTTAATTTCAAAAGTGTAAATTAGAAGTGACAACGAACGAAGGAAAGAGATATTTGACCAAGTATAATTTCATTTTAATTTTTTTTTATGCCTGTCCCATGATATCAGCTTTCCACTGAACTGGATAAAACGGTTTATCATATAATTAACTATCAAATACCTATATTTCTCCATTTCGTAAAGTTGATATTTTCACCATTGAAAATAACATGTTATTTGCTCTCTATATAGTGGAAGTAAGAAAAAGGTATTTTAAGACATAATCATGCACTCTTGAGAGATTTTTTCAACACTTGAAGATAAAATCCGTATCGATCTCTACGCGCCCATGTAATATCCTCTATATTGTACATTTAAGCGATATATATTTCTTTAAACTTTTAAACTTAAAAGTTCATACTCGATCCTATACTCAACGGCTGTGATGATTATTTTTATTATCATTTTTTTTATTCAGATGTTAAAGAAAACTGTTATATTTCTGAAAATAAAACAGGAGCTCTCCTGAAACGAAAAATTCTTACAGGAAAACTTAAAGCAATAGTGAGTTTTAGATACGCGTTGATGGCGAACGCCAAACGTCAACTGAGCTGATCAGGTGATCACTGTTTTTCTGTATTAACGATCACTTTTTCGTGCATAAGCGCATCACTATTCTTTTCGAAGCGTTTTTACGTTGTTTGAAATTTTGAGACAAGGCATAAAAGCCAATTTAACGTTTGGCGTTTACAGTAAACATGAATCTAAAACTCTCAGTAATAATAATAAAAAAAAGATATACATGGATGCGTGGACTCGTTGATTTGTTGAATGACTACGCTAACATGCAGTCCACTCAGTCCCGAGTAATATTTCAGGGTAGTTACGAGGTAGAAAGTTTTTGTAGAAATCTCCAATCCAAGAACTAAAAGCCTGATCATTGACACCAAAATACCGACAATTTTGATCCCCGACCCTTGCCAATCCTTTGGAATAACATTTGAGATCCCGATTCCCAGAATTAATAGATCTCGATTCTAAATGCTGAGCTTAGAACTCCCTGAGCACAGACCGTGATCGTGATGAAAGTGTGCTGATATAGATCTAAGCTCAAAAAGAAAAAGAAAAAGAAAACGGAATAAAAGAGATCCCTGATCCCATTCCACTTGTTTGACTACCCTGATCAGATTTCGATAAAATTATAACATTGTAAATCAGAGATATCACCTTGCGTTTTACATCCCATCTCGCGCGCACTTCACAATGTTTCCTCCTGATCACTTCGCATATACTCGTAATTCAATAATAAGAATTCAGTTCACTTCCATCTTTTGTTTGGTCAATGCTTAATCAAGACACAATTTAATGCAAATTCACTACGGCAATAAATCTTCTAAAAAGCATAACTGTCATCTTATTTGCTCAAAACGTAAGAAATACAAACAGAATAAGGATTAAGCTCTACATGTTTACTAAAACGTCTGACAAATTCAAAAATAAAATGAAATGAAATTCTGTAACTAGTTTCTGTATACTGAGGAAGCGGGCACTAGTTAGACAAAGTAGAAGTTTGTTTTTTGTTACACTTAATATTTCTATAAACTTCATTCTAATTGAATGGCGCAAATTTATAGTTTCCTTTATTGCACAATCCTTTTCGCCAGTTGATGACTTTTAAAATGATTATCATATCATTGATACACCCAATTGAAAAGCGTTGTCACAAAAGATATTTGTACAATTTAGTCAAAAGGAATTAATACATTGAAAAAAAGACAAACACTTTCTTCTTTCAGACTGTACACTTTCTTTTGTTTATTAATGTTTCCTTTTGACTAAATACAAATGTCCTATTGTTTTATGACAACGTTATTAGGCAATGTGTAGCGACGCCATTTTGTAAAGAAAATCAAAATGGTGGTTGTAGTCCTCGTACTTTTTCATGCCCATGTAACATGTTTTTGCTTTTTTAAGCCAAATATTAAAGTAGTTTTGCCGTTTCTACAAAAAAGGCCTTTAAGGAGATATTTTAGTGACTTTAGTGACTTTCAAAACAGGTTTGAGGACCACAACTATCATCATTACTCTTTGGGCGAATATAACGCTAGAGGACGCTCAATGAACATCAATAAATGAATTCAACAATAATGAGGATTGCATGGTTCATTAATTTTTTTTAAACTTTCCTTAAAAAGTTCTTAGAAATAGTTGATTAATTATACATAGTTATAGCATCAAAAATTATTTTTGATAAGAAAGAACTTGTCCCTAGATGTAATATGATTATGGTTTCAAGTGGATTTAGAAATGATTTAAATGATTTACACCAGGTGTATAGTTGACTCAGTTTATTTTCAATTAATTTGATTCAGTATTCCTGACGTATACGCAGCCCTCACAAGTCGTTCTCTTGAAAAGGTCTTAATTGCTAATTACAACATCAAAATTTCTTAATCAACTCTGTAAATACGACGTCGTACGTTGTTAGACCTGTCCATACTCCTGCTCATKCAGAAATTCAAAATCAAGATTTTTTTTTCGTAGATGAGTAGCATTGCTTTTCTGAAAATTTGTCGCTCAAAGATAGTCCATTATACTTGTGATCATATATGGCTTGAGTTAACTTTGTTTCCGTTTTCTCCCTTGCATCGAGGGTTTTTTTTCTCCGAGTTCTCCGGTTTTACCTCCCTCAGCAAATAAAAGGAACATTTCTAACCTAGCTGTGCTCCGTGATAAGATATGGGTTGGCTGTTTTGCTGTTTTGTGTGTGTTGTAACTATGTGATTGTCCTCATGATTAGCTATCACCAATCATTATTATTATTATGAAYATTGGTGATCGAATGGTCATGCACAAAAGCACGAGGACGAGTCTTACTTCCAAGAAAACAATTTTCAGCTGTGTTTTTTTATTTCGCCTCAATTCTCAATTGTGCGTGGTTGAATAAAAAATTGAGTCGGACTTTAATTTATATCTCAAAGGCCTTTCTGATTCTGTTCCTATTGAATAATATAAAAATTAGGTAACACCTAATAGCGGAGCTCCAATAGCAATATAGAAGCTGAACATGATTATCTAGTACTGCTATTTCAAAGGTAGATGCTCTGTTCTAGGGAATGTGAGCTACAACAGTTTTGTTGACATGCGAACAAATATTATAAAGAGTATGTTTATGAGAATTTAGTTCGTACTATTATATTGACTTCGGTAGATTTTGTTCCGTTGGATGAAGTTTAAAATTATAATTAAAAGTAAACTGAAAGCTTCTCGGCAAAAAGTAGTCTACATAAGCTTACAATAATCAACATTGTTTCAATAATCGATGTTTGAACCCGGACTACTCGAACTTCACATAATCACAGAAAACTGTATACAAAAATATATCTTTTACCTTCATTATCGAACTTCCGATAAATTATCGTTCAATGGTCATCTTCAACAGAGCCATACTTGTTTCAAGCATAGGTTTCATCAATTTATTAAGTCATTCAAGACTGTAGATTCTTTGTTTTAATCTCTCTCAATCTAACTGCTAGAATGGTTTTGGTTTCGAAATGTCCACACTTTTAGTCGACAAAAGAACTTCGCATAGATCCCTGCTTTTTCCCATATTGGTCCATATTATTGAAGTATTTCCAATAAAGTATCATCTCTTTTTGTTGTCGAAATATCAAAGTAAAATCCGTCTTTCTAATATCACTTTTAAGATGGGCCTAAATTGTTTTTCATCTTCGCAAATCGATTTCCCGGATGTGCGGACGCGTCGAAGTTATGACAAAATTGGCGGGAATATTTCTGTGTTGTTATTTCGCTCTTCAGTGGATTTTTTCCTTGTTATTAATTGTTCTAATATTATCAATATGTAATATAAATGTTTAAGGAAAAAATTTCGATTTTTCAACAAATACTTGGCGCTTTGTTTCCTTTTCGAGCGGAGTATGGGTTTCCTGTGGTGGTACAGGGACGGAAGGACGGACGGAAGGAAACGTGCGTACGCGCGGGAGCCCTGTGTCGGTCCATGGAAAATCGACTCGATAGCTCCGCTATAATTAAACTAAGAGACCTCAAGCCCTTAATACAAAACTTTATAGCTGTGCAAATAAGACTTTTTCTCTTTCATTGAGAAAGAGATTAGTAGATAACAGACTCATTAACATGGGAAGAGCTAGACTCTACAAAAACAAACAAACAAAAGAGTTGAACGATTCAAATAGACTTAAAAGAAAAAACGAGCTTATTAGGTTGCTTTCCATTTAGGCAGAACTGGCCGGTCAGTCCACTCTATTTAGAGGAATATAATGCTTTTTTCAACATTATTCAGTCATTTCGAGGTGTTCTGTAGAATAATGGATAGAATTTGAAAATTAATTTGAATTTCCTAACTAAATGGCAATGATATATAATGACATTTTCTCTGGGTCTGGCCAGCCAGTTCTGACAAATGGAAAGCGCACTTAGTGTCAACTAATGATATATTTTGCGGTTTTTCTACTCCAATTTCATAACTTGAATTGTTAAGTGCAATAAATTGTACTAAATAGTGCATGCTTTAGTTTTGTTTTGTTTCAAGCAAAGTGGTGCCCTTCCTTCTTTAGAATAATTTTGATCCTGTCAAACGTTCCCTAAGGTAAAAAAAGGCTYATATAACGTTTTTCTGGTCAAAAACGGCTTATATTTTTTTACTTAGTAGGAAATTTTTATTTTCTTAGAAAGTTATTATTAAATTCTTAGAAAGTATTCCTTGCCTGGAGAGTTCTTTTTTCCTGAATTTCTCGCTGGCAACCAGTTGTGACTTACAGCTGGCTGGGACATAAGAACAGAGATGTGATATTTTTCTTAGGAACCCGTCGGYTATTCCTAATTTAACTCACTAAATATTTTCATATTTTAAAAATGCTTTAATCAAGAAGGCCCGCTTCAAGAGCCAAATCGTGGAGCCTTTAATAATCAAAGGGTCAAATACATAGACTAAACAAAGTTTAGCTTTATACTCAGCTTTTTCTATAAAGAAATGACATTTTGACCGAAAAGATAAATAGATATATAAAACAAAAGAAATGGAGGATATTACATGGGCGCGCGGAGATACGGATTTTATCTTCGAGTGTTGAAAAGATCTCTCACGAGTGAGCGTAGCGAACGAGTGAGAGATTTTCAACACGAGAAGATAAAATTCGTATCTCTAAGCGACCATGTAATATTCTGTTTATCATATATCGCCCCGTGTAAGAGAATCCGG